TGTTGTTCTCTAGGAAAATGGGCAAGCCCCATTGAGGACTAGAGTTCACATCCCACAGTACATGGGGCTGGAGATGCTGGGAGCTGTCCTGCGTCCTGAAAATCCTGAACCAGCACCACCAGGAGCTGTCCAAGGTTCCAAATGTCTTAGAAGAGTGCTTCTCAAAGTAAGGTCTACTCTACAGACTATCTGTATCAAAACTAACTGGGTATGCTTGTTAAAATACAAATAAATTCTTAGTCAATCCCAGAACTACTGAGTCAGAGTATTTATAGGTAAGACTCATGAATCTGCATTTTGAGATTCTTATGTCACCAGCGAAGATGATGTCTCACAAATGTCAGTACCACTTTTTAGGACTGAGGACCACTTATTCGCATTGAACTCACTGATCACTGTAAATGTATCTGATGCCTTTAATATTATCTGTATTAACACTCATGATGAGTGATTAGTCCTGAAAAAAGACATTAACCAAATTTCTTCCAAATGGTTTCTGTCACAATTTGGCACCAAACAAATACAAAAATTCAGCCCCATCAAGGAATCTCAGGAAAGGCAAACCACTTTTTAAATCAACTTCCTTGATCTTTTAGCAGGTCTTTCCTATTCATCCAAACTAGTAATGAAAATCACTATAAGCACAACCAATATGTAACAATCACTCACTCTGTGCCATCTATCAAATCCATGACAGTGAGAATAGTAGTAAACACAACAAAAGTATACTCATTATTTACTACATACCAAATACTGTTCAAAGTTCATCACACAATTGTCTCATTTAATCCTTATAATATAATATACCCGTGATACCAAAAGGGCAGGGAAAATTGCACCTGGTTGGTAGCCATTTATAGGTGTTGTCATATAAATATATGATACTAAAGCTAATACTTTGAGATATTTTTTTAAATGTTTGGAAATGGGGGGAATATAAATGTCCTTATTGACTCCTTGTTGTGTTCCTGGCACTTTAGTATGTTTTCTTCATTAAAGCATTACAACTGTTTATGAGTGTGCTATCCCTATTTTAACAGCTTTATTGAGATACTGATATACAATAAACTGCACATATTTAAAGTGTGCAACAGGGTTTTTTATAGGTGTATACACCCGTGAAACCATCACCTCCAATAGTTTCCTTGTGCCCTCTGTAATCCTCCCTCCTACCCCTCTTTAGTTGCTTGTCCCAGACAACTACTAGTCCACTTCTGATGCTATGGATCAGTGTGTATTTTCTAGAATTTTATCTAAATGGAATCATATAATGTGTACTCTTTTTGTTTGCCATCTTAAACTCGGCATGATTATTTTGAACCATGTTATTGCATTTATCAGTAGTTCATTCCTTTTTACTGCTGAGTAGTATTTCAATTATCTCCATTTTATAGATAAGGAAAATGTGAAAATAAGCAACTCATCTAAGATCGCACAGTAAAGGACTAGATTCAAATGTAAATCTGCCCAACACAAAAGCCCCAGATTTCCCCACTAAAATTATACTTTTCATTTTTAACTGAGAAGTAATTTTATATACATCTTCAGCATGGGAAAGATATAACCTCCAGAATGAGTAGAACATACTGATCACACACAAAAATAGGTTGTTGGATGATTAGAGAGGATGTCAACTGTTCTACCCACCATGCTAACTTTCAAAACCTCAACCCTTGGGCTTCCCATTATTAATAAATGACCATTATTAAGTCATTCATCCCAAAAGAACCCAGGATCCTGATGCTGCCGAAGTACATGGAGATCATCATATACAGGGCTGCAGCTAGAATCCTGACTTATAGGCCAAAGGGAAGGCAGTATATGGAGCAGTCAGATTTACAGTAGCTCTGGGAAGCATCCAAGGAATTCTGAAGACCTCATTAAACTGCGTCACTTGTATGGCTGCCCCTGCTAAGTAATTAGAAACAGAAGAAGAGATGACAACGAGAAAATGGAAAAGAACAGAATGGTGAACCACCCTTGCCAAACTCCCAACTGCTCATTGGTGATCTCAGGTACCCATAACTCATGGAATATAAAAACTTAACACATTACATTTTTCCATGACCCTCAACACATTTTTGAGGAGCAATTAATAATATTAGTCACTAGTATTTATACAATGTTTATTGTGTGCCAGACACCATACAAGAGAATCTTATTCCATGTCCATTGCACTAACAAGGAAACTAATTCTCAGAAAATATAAGTGACTTGTTCAAGGTCACACAGCCAGAGACTAACTCATAGACAAAATTCAGATCTCTGAGTCTTAGTCCAGTGGTCTTCCCATGACTCACAAGGACTCCAAACTGCTCTCCACCCAGCCACCTCCACACACTTTTACCATCATTGGTCCCATCACAGGCTTACCCTAGAGCCATGGTCGGCAAACTGCGGCTCGCGAGCCACATGCGGCTTTTTGGCCCCTTGAGTGTGGCTCTTCCTAAGCCTTAGGAGTACCCTAATTAAGTTAATAACAATGTACATACCTACCTACATAGTTTAAGTTTAAAAAATGTGGCTCTCAAAAGAAATTTCAATCGTTGTACTGTTGATATTTGGCTTTATTGACTAATGAGTTTGCCGACCACTGCCCTAGAGTATATGTTGACCTAGGACATTCAGTTTCACACCCACTGTCACCTTATCTCACCCCATCAGAACATATCATTCTGTGTGTCCTGCCCTCAGAATACTGTTCAACACTAGAGTCAACTTAAAAGATATTCCAATATCTTCTGCACCAAAGAGCTAATTATTACAATCCTATGCTTTTCTGGGCTGCCAACGGGGCTTAAGAAAAGACTGATGAAAATGGTGGGCAGGACTGGGATGCAGGACCAGATTTCCCAAGCCTGGCCTTCACACGTGAGAACGTCACAGATTTATAGACACTAATTCTAAGCACAGAAAACTCTATTCCTCTTTCGGAGGGGCCAACTTGGGCTGAGGTGGCCTTTTGCCTAGAAGAGAAAGAAGGGACGTACTAATTATTATAGTTAAATAATAAGAGTAATCATAGGAGCCAACATTTACCAATTGCTATATACTATTGGGTGTTTTTACTAGAATTGTCTCAACCCACATTTCCATGAACTGAGTGCCAGTGCTGGTCTCATTTACAGATGAGGAAACTAAGAGACGGGGCTAAGGAATCTGAGAATCAACAGCTGGTCTTGCAAACTCCAGAACACTCACTCTTAACCCGTTCATAGATCCCCACCAGTTCGCTTTTATTACGCACCCATTATGTGCCTGGCACTGCACGAACTTCAGGCATATCAATTTATTGAAACTTCACAACAACCCTGAGGGAGGTAGCATTATTCCCATTTTACAGATGAAACGCAGTCGAGAGAAAGAAAAAAGAAGAAACTGAGGAAGTGTAAAGCTGGAACCTACCACAGGCAGTCTGCCCCGAGAGCCTGCGCTCTCATCCAACATGGCTCGTTCCTATTCGAGTCTTTCTAGCTTAAAAGGCTTTGCAGTTCAGATGCCAAAAAGCCATTGCGCAGCGACCCGGCAGCAACAGCACCAGGCGTTGCCCCTGCACACCACAAGGGGGCGCCTCAGACCTGGGGGGTGGGGGTCGGCTGGAAGCCAGGCCCCTCCCCTCACTGCACCCTCTGCTCGCCCAGCAGCCAATCCGAAACGTTGGTGACTGCGCAGCACTCACTGTGGGACCGCTGTGAGGAAGGCTGGGTGATTCTAAGGGGCATCTGGTTTCCAACGATGGAAAGCGATGCGCACAGGACAGGAAAGCTACACAAGAGGCTGTGGCTCACAAGAGAGGGCTCACAGGCATTTTACCTGAAAAAGTCCAGGTGGGAGGTGCTCTGACCCG